CCTGCCAGATGGAGGGGGAGCAGTCACAGTCGATCCCCATCATTTGGTGGGGGTTTAAAGTCGTCAGGTTTTGTCATTGTGTTTTAATTTCATAACTAATCAGGAGCAGAGTGAAAAGTTGGGGTGTTGTGGCGTGTTTGAGGCTCGATAAGGTGAAGTGCCAGGTCCTGCCCCAACCCCATGGAACGTTCCAGGACAGGATTTGGGAGCCTCCCCCAGCTCTGGGAGTCGGGAAGGCTGTGGGTACTGGAGATATCCCTTTCCTAGGTGTGACATTCCCGAGACCTCCTGGCACAACTGGCGGGATTCTTTTGGAAAGGCAATACTGCTGATGGTTGGTTCACCAAAACTCTTAGGATTTGGGATAAGTGTGCCTTTGGGAACGTGCAGCCCGTGTGTACCCTCGTGCTGGAGCCGAGCTGGGATTTACCAGAGCTCAGAGTGAGGGATTTAAAGCCTGAAGTGTGAAACTTTACATTCCTTGGCTTCCTTCCAGTTTTGCCTGTGTCCCAGTATAGAGCCAGGCCAATTAAATGGAAAGGAGGAGAAACCTCTCCTGGTGAGGGGGAAAAAAAATACCAGGAAGAAAGTCGGGGCCTGCCCAGCTCCAGGACAAAGTGAAGGTCACAGCACAGCAGTGCTGCCCCCAGGAGGGACCACACCAGCACATGGGGCAGTGGCTGATGAGGAGCCAGAGCTCAGCACGGGAATTTTTTAGCTGACACTGAGCAGAGCAGGATTCTGGGAGCAGGATTTGGGGAGCTTCCCTCTTTCTGGGTCCCTGCTCCTGTGGAAGAAACGGGAAGGTGATGAGTGGTGAAGAGGCCTTGGCATCCCTGTGTTATTCCATCACACAGATTGTGGAATGGTTCGGGTGGGAAGGGGCCTTAAAACCCATCCAGCCCTACCCCCTGCCATGGGCAGGGACACCTTCCACCAGCCCAGGTTGCTCCAAGCCCCATCCAACCTGGCCTTGGACACTCCCAGGGATCCAGGGGCAGCCACAGCTTCTCTGGCCAACCTGTGCCAGGGCCTGCCCACCCTCCCAACCAGCAATTCCTTCCCAATATTTAGCCTAAATTTCCCCTCTTTCAGTCTGAACCCTTCACTCCTTGTCCTGTCACTGCAGTTCCTGATGAAGAGACTGTCTGCAGAGGCAGGAGCTGTGAGTGGGGTGGGGGAAAGCAGGGTCAGGTTCGTGACGGAACAAAGGTGGAATGTGGATTTGTGCCCGGGAGGGGAAGGTGGGAATGTCTCCATTTGGCTTGAGAGCAGAGAGGGATCCAGGGAGAGAGTCCCCCAGGAGGGGTGGAGAGAAAACCAAGGGGATTCAGGAGCTTTGAGACCTTTTCCTCTGGGGTCCTGCAGCGGCAGGTTAAAGGATGTTCCAGATCCCAACTCGAGAAGCCACAGGGCTCCTTGGTTCGGAGCGTGGAGCAAACAGCTGGGAGGCAGTGGATGCACTTGGCTGGCCAGGTCTGGGATCCAGAGGTGGCAGCTCTGCCTTCCTCCCTGAGACATTCCCCGTGTCCTGTTTGTTCATTTACTCCCACCATATTTAAGCACTTCGTGAGCGCCGCGTCCCCAAACCGTGACTCAGCCAGCGCCTCATTTCCATGTTTATGGCCCTTCAGATTCCAGTGACCTTCAGAGCCGATGGCTCGGGCTCAGAGCAGTGATTTGTGGGCCTCGCTGGGCCGTTTATTCCTCTCGTCCTGTCAGCAGCAGCTTTGCCTCGGCCGCCCGCGGCGCTGCCCGCCCGGCACACGGCTCCCCTGGGAGAGCAGCTGGCACAGGAGCCTGGGGACGGGCAGGAGAAGGGCCTGACTTTGCAGGAGGAGGTTGGAGTGAGTTGTCAGGAGATGGTTGTGGAGGGTCTGTGTCCCTGTGGAGGGTCAGGGCCTGCTGGATCCAGACCGGTGCCCTGAGGGTGCTTTTGGGCTCTCCAGAGCTCCTTGGGATCCATCTGCTCCTCCCCCTGCCAGCCCCCTCTTCTCTCTGGACCTCAGTTCTTGAACGTTGTGTCTTTGTACAGCAAGAATGAGGTACCTTCCACCCTTATCTTTTAGGGAAGGAATTGCTGGCTGTGAGGGTGGGCAGGCCCTGGCACAGGTTGCCCAGAGAAGCTGTGGTTGCCCCTGGATCCCTGGGAGTGTCCCAGGCCAGGTTGGACAGGGCTTGGAGCAACCTGGGACAGTGGGAGGTGTCCCTGCCCATGGCAGGGGTGGGACTGGATGGGCTTTAAGGTCCCTTCCCACCCAAACCATTCTACGACTCTTTGTCAGCCTGGGTTGGTGAGACCAGGCTCCAGCATTCCCAGGTCCCTGAGAGCAGTGGGATAGTCCATGGCATGTCCATGTACCCTCAGGGGCGGAGGATCAGCTTAGGGAAGAGTCAAACCAACAGGACCTGGGGCTCACAGGGTGCCCCAGTGAGGGCTGAGGGACCTGGCTGGTGGCTTTGCCGGGCCACGCTCCATCATTCCATGAATCCATAATTCTGTGATCCCTCACAGGTCACGGTGGTCGGGGGAAGTTCCTGCAAATGTCGCTTCTGTCCTCAAGAAGGGCAAGGCAGGAAGGGTGGGGGGCTTCAGGCTGGTCAGTCTCACCTTGATCCCTGGGAAGGTGGGGGAACAATTAACCCTGGAAGACTTTCCCAAACAGCAAAGGCCAAGCTGGCGATTGGGAGCTGCCAGCCTGGACTGGTGAATCCTGAATCCTGCTTGGCCAGGGGCTTGTGGGGTGAGGGAGAGCAGGAACGTTGTTTTCCTTGACTGGAGCAATGTTTTTAGTGTCGTCTCACGTCACATCCTGAGGGACAAACGGGTGAAATATGGACAACTTTAAATCTTCTCCTTGGAACTCGCTTCGTCGCTCCCTTAAAATCTGGCCTGATTCCAGATGAGCTGGATCCTCAGTCCTCCCCCATCCTCAAGGAACAGCAAATCTTAACGAGGAGCGGTGTGTAATTGCAGAGCCAGAACAGGAGGCTCTGGAGAGCTGGCTGAGCTTTGGAAGCTGGAAATACAAAGTACTACAAAAGGGGAATTTTCCAGCGGGAGATGTTAGCGGAGCCGCTACAGCACGGCCGGGAGCAGCGGGAAATCAGGGCCGGGACTTGGGGCCGTTCCAAACGGTGACAACATCCCAACCTTTTGGAGAGCAGGAGCGTTTGCATCTCAAGAGAAGATCTGGAGAGGAGCTGAAATGATTCTGCTGTTTGGCTGCCACGCCAGGCGTGTGCCTGTGTTTGTTTTTCCCTTGCTGCCTGTAGGATTAATGCCTGGATCCAGGAGTCGTGCGGCTCCTCTCCTTTGGGGAATTTGCTTTGGCTGCCGGAGCAGCGCTTTAATTTATTAATAACTGCCGAGTTTGGATTTAGCTCTGACTGACACAGCACGGTGGGGATGGGAGCAGGGATGGATCCGGCCTGGGAGGTGCTGGGAGCTGAGCTGGAAAGGCAGCAGCACGTGGTGGAGTTGGTTGGGATGTGGCTCTGCCTTCTGTCCTTTGGGGTATCAAACTCCACAGCAATTCCTGGTTTGTTTTTTTTTTTTTTTTCTTTTTCTGAGTCGTGGAATGGTTTGGGTTGGAAGGGACCTTAAAGCCCATCCAGTCCCACCCACTGCCATGGGACACCTTCCATCAGAAGGTGTTGTTGCCTTGGCCAATTTCTCTCCCTCTCTGCATCCCATTTTCCCTGTGGGGCTGGGATTCCTCTGTCACTCTGAGGATGACGGAGGTTATGGTTGGTCCCAAATTTCCAGGAAATGGTTTCACCACACCCTGTGTTGTGTCTGGGTCCCCCATCTACACCCATCTTACAAAGCTGGGGGTTACCAGTTTGGTGTTTCCTTTTCTCAGCACACACCTGCAGGAAGCTCTCTGTGCACTTCTGTCTTCTGGACATGGGGGACAGAAGCTTTTGGAGGCTTCTTGAGGTCCTTTCTTCCTCCAGACCATGCCAGACCAGTGTTTTGTGTTCTCCCCTGTTATGTCCATGTGAGGAGCAGCTGAGGGAGCTGGGGGGGCTCATCCTGGAGAAAAGGAGGCTCAGGGGGGACCTTCTGGCTCTGCAAGTCCCTGCCAGGA